AGTCGTATTGGTCTGAGATAAAAAGAAATGAAAAAATCTAGACCTCTTAGTTCAGAGATGATACCTTTTATTAGACCAACTGAGAAATCACAAAAAAAAAATCTTTTTTTACTGGCAGAGTCACTAATTCATGCCAGTTGAGATCCTGGGAACCTCAGCATTTAGTAGGCCTTTGCAAGTCGGCAGCAATCCAATCCAGCTTCGGATCCAGCCACTTCAGATGACAGTGATCCAATCCAGAGGTCTGGACTGGGTTTCTGCCTTAATCCAGCCGAAGTGGCTCCAAAGCTTCAGAGCCGCCTTGGAGATCCGGCCATAGGGTATAATGGGGGAATCAACGAAATATCTATAACTTTGTTGTTTTTTGTCTGATTTGGACGAAACTTGCGGGGATGGTAGCCTCTTCTGAGATCATGAAACCTGACAAGTTTCAAGAAGATCAGTGCAGGGATTTGGAGTGAGCTGTACCCCAACTTCTTGAAAGCCAAACTCATGTCACAGCTGTGTGTTACACCACAGGGGGTGAAAACTGCAGGAGTGGTAGCCCCTGGTGAGGCCATGGAGCCTGCCAAGTTTCAAGAAGATCAGTGCAGGGATTTGGGGGGAACTGTACCCCAACTTCTTGAAAGCCAAACTCATGTCACAGCTGTGTGTTACACCACAGGGGGTGAAAACTGCAGGGGTGGTAGCTCTTACTGAGGCCACAAAGCCTGCCAATTTTTGAGAAGATCAGTGCAGGGTTTTGGGGGGAACTGCACCTCAAGCTGTGGACAAGCAAAACTCATGACATGGGTGACCCTGTGTGTGTTAAGGTGCAGCAGGGTGACAGCTGCAGGGATGGTATTCTCTGAGGGTGGGACCATACTTCCCAGACTCTATAGCTCTATCAGAGTCTGCAGATCCTTTCTCCGCACCAAGCACAATCAAGGTCCCACTTAGGAGCATGGAGGGTTAGACCAGCACTCCCTCCCCAAAGTAACACTAATCCTGCTCTGAGGCCATCATGCAAGCCACTCCACTGAGGCACTCACCAGGGAGTTGTTTGTTCTCATGACTTTTGTCACAAGAATCTAGGAACACATGTTTGAGTGTGAGGGGTACTAGTAAAGATAAAAAGAGGCCACTGATGCTTCTGGTTCATTGTCTGAATGAATTGTGAATATCATGTCACCTTAGTGACAACAATGTTCTTCCTGCTCTGCCATCTACACCTGGGAAGGTGTCAGAGGAACTGCCCACTTCTCAGGAGAGAGACATCCACTCAGTGGGACAGCAGGGATGGACAGATGAACACCCCCGAACATCCAGGGCCGCGTGGCACATTTCCACATGTTCAAGACCAGACAGCCGCAAAGTGGTCCTTTGGCTGGGAACGTCCCTGAGAGCCCGAGCTCAGAAGAACAATTCGCAATGCAACCAGTGGCCATGAATCCTCCCGATATGTTCGGCCAAAATTTACAGATGCTGACACAGATTTTGGATACGCAGCAACAAATGCTAGAGCATCAACAAGATTGGCTGCAGCACAGCCTGACTTCATTCAAGATGCCCCGAATGACCAGTGAGGATGACCTGGAGGCATATATCGAGGCCTTCAAGAGGCACGTTATCCTGACAGGGGTACAAGGGGTACTGGGCCAGTCAGTTAGGTGCCCTGGTCATGGGGAAGGCCCAAGTGGCATCCCAAGTGCTCCCCAGTGATGAAGCCTGGGACTATGAGGCTGTCAAGGTGGCAATATTGTATAGGTTAGAGATTAACCCTGAACATTACAGGTGCCTGTTCCGGGCCAAGAAGGGGGCCAAAGAAAACCACCCACGGCTCTTACTACAATGCTTGAGGGATGTATTTGGAAAATGGATTAATGTAGCAACGTGTGACTGCGACTCACTAATAGACCAAATCATCCTGGAACATTTCCTCAATGATCTGGAGGACTGACAGTATTCACCACCGAACTGCGATGAGGCCCTGAAATTGGCTGAAGCCTTTGCGGCCTCCAAGGTCTACTATCCCAGGGAAAAGCGGGCCCATGCTCATCCTTCTCTGGGTCCCAAGGAGCAAGAGAGGTGGCGATTTCCTCCCAAGGGGCAGACATGCGACGTCATTTGCTTCCATTGTGGGAAGGCCAGGCACTTTGCCAAGGAATGCCCAAACTGTGTAGTCAAGAGCTGGCGACCAGATCCCTCATTTCGGGGAGCATCTGAGGGTCACAAGGAAACCCCACACACTAAGCCAATGGATTGTAGTTTCAGCAGTGGTGGGGAAGGCGTGATCTGGGAAAGACCCATGGTGCGAGTCCAAGTAGAAGAACGCCCAATATGGTCCATCCTAGACTCAGGGTGCGCCCAATCCTCGATCAGGACCAACTTCATGACGGTGTGCCTCGTTTGGCATGCGATATGTTGTTGGGGCGGGATTGGGGCCCCTTATATGACACTCTGGAGAGGATCTGGGACGTACAAAGTAATCGCCGAAACTTACGGAGGCAGGAAGGATGGTTGGGAGAGGTTGATGGTGATGGAGGGGCTGATGGTGACCCTGAAGGACTTGAGTTACATGATGTGATAAGCAACCAACAGTTCCAGGAAGCCCAAGAAGAAGATGAAGAACTACAAGGATTGCGAGCTACAGCTAGGGAGGCCACAGAAGGCGTATCGACATTGGCTGTGGCGCTATATCCATGGTTCAAGGTAAGACATCCGCTGTTGTATCATTTTTACACAGTCCTGGCCCCAACACTTGCAGGCCTTGGGGGTGGTGCTCATGGAATTACGGAAGGCAGGATTAACGGCGAAGCCCTGAAAGTGCGCAATGGCATGTCACCAAACAAGATATTTAGGATTTTTGGTAGGACAAGGAACCATCAGACCCCTAGCTGATAAAGTGGAGGCCATTCATAAGTTCCAAGCCTCCCCAAAATGCCGAAGCAACTCCGGTGTTTTCTAGGCCTAGTTAACTACTACTGTCGCTTTGTGCCACATATTTCAGACTTAGTGGCCCTGCTGTCAGACACACTAAAAGGGCCATCAAGAAAGGGGATAAAATGGTCGGGAGAAATGATTAGAAGCTTTCGTCAACTAAAGAAGGCTCTGTGCAAGGACATAGTGGTACATGCCCCCGTTTTCATGAAACCCTTTGTATTACAGACAGATGCATCAGAAACAGCCATAGGGGCCGTGCTGACACAGGAGGATGGAGGAATGGAAAGACCGGTGGCCTATGGTAGTCGGAAGTTGTTACCAGTGGAGACAAGGTATGCCACAATTGAACGAGAATGCTTAGCAATATGATGGGCGGTGGACCACTTCAGATATTATTTAATGGGCCGAGAATTTACATTAATAGTTGATCACACTCCACTGAGATGGCTGGGAACGGCAAAAACAGACAACGCACGTATCATGAGATGGGCACTGGTGTTACAACACTTTAGATTTCGAATAGTACATCGACCAGGCAGCACCAACATAACAGCATACTTCTTGTCTAGGTGCGAGGCCATGCCACAAGATGACAAGGAGGGACAAAAGCAAAGAGAAGAGCAGGACCAGTCAGGTAGGAAGACCACGGCCCTAAATAAACAGCACCAAGGCAGCTTAAGGGGGGGTTTATGTCATGGAGAGAGAAAGAGGGGCAGACCCTGAGGAGCCAGGGGGAACCCTGGGGCCAGGAACCCACCAAGGAAAGCAAAAAGAAAAGAAAAGGAACAAAAAACTTCTTACCTGCAGCAGGGTCCACGGCGAAGCCAAAAATGGAGGCGGGACCCCAGCAGCTCATTAGCCATGTCTTTATACAGCTGCGGCCAGTGGATAACAACAGCAGCAGGAGTTGGCCGGTGGATATAAAAGAAGCCACTGGCAAGAAAGGAGTGGGGAGACCTGCAGGGACCTTAACAGGGAGAATTCTCCCAGAGCCCCTATGGGGGAGAAAACGGTGGGGAGCTGCCTCTCCCAACACAGGCGAGCACAGCAAAGTCTGCCGTGGGAACAACGCTGCCAGCGGCAGCACAAAGAGCAAGGAAGCAGTCGCCACTCCCTCAGACCAAGAACATGGCTCGGAGGACCAGAAAGAGCGGAAGGAGCATGACACAAGGGGCTACTACTGAGGAGCCAGAGGGGACAGCCACCACCAAGATGCTGGACTAGGTGGGATTGTCCCGGGCTCCAGGGGGGCTTGAGGAGGCACCCCAGGTAGGGGGTGAAGAGCATAAACAGCACAAGGGGGCTGCAGAAGACGGGTCCCAGTGGCATAGAGGCCCCCCCCGATGAGAGATGTGGGGGAGTTGCGTGGAGAAGGGCCACTGCAGGTCCAGAAAGCCCACAGGCAGGACAAAGAGTGAGGAGGGGAACGCTGAAGCCTGCAGTCTAGCTCAGACCCAGTTTAGGGCTAACTAGGGATCTCAGGCATCTAAAGCCTGGTGTTGGTGGGCAGGCTGTGAGCACAGATGGCAAGAGGGCAGAGGGGCCCCCTCCCTCCCCCTTTTGCATATCTACCTTTTTTTTTTCTTGTCGTTGATAACTTCTTTTTGTTTCCCACTTTTGGAGGGGTTGTGGTGCAAGGCATCTAGAGCCCAAGTGTTGTTCAGGTCTAGAAGGGGTTACTATCCCCTGGGAGGCAAGGCAGAGGTTAGGTGCTGTTGGTGGCGGTATGGTTAGGCCCCGCAGGCTGATATCCATCTCAGCAAGCATACACAGAGCCCCAACAGTTGGGGAAACTGGCCGAAGAACATTGTGAACCCATCAAGGCAGGGTGTAAGGGTCAGTTAGAGGGGAGGTGGAGCCTCACAGAAGATCGCCATACAGCTGTCCCATAATTGAGAGACCCCAACAGTCGGACACCCACCACTAGAACAAGATCCAAAGTCATGGCAGGCAAGATTGGGGAGAGACTACTCGGAAGAGAGACATCCACTCGGCGGGACGGCAGGGACGGACAGACAAACACCCCTGAATATCCAGGGCCGCGTGGCGCATGACCAGTTATTCAAGACCAGACGGGCACACACTTAATTAACCAGGTAAATTCATTTGCACAAATTTAGCAGGGTTTTGGTTTTTTGTTTTGCTTTTTTTGGAGGGGGGGGGCATACAGAAGTGAAAAAGTAATAGGGTATTTGTTTTAAACTACTGTGTAGTATTACTGTGACTCACCCAGAGGTGGTTATGTTTCAGCGACAGGGTGATGTAGTTGCTAAGCTTTTTACATACTTCAGTGATGTGGTAAAAATGCTACTTTTTAAAACTGCAAACATTTAGACTTAAAAAAATTGCTTCCTCCATCAAAAGAAAGCTGCAGTTTGCAAATACAAAAGTATAAAATATTTATAATTGTTCCATCATATCATCCCTTAAATTTCATTTGGTATTACTGCTTTAATCCAGATGCTGCTTCTTTCCAAAATATGCACTCCTTACAGGAATGTACATAATTGAGTTCCTTTCCCATACTGGCTTGAATAACAAAGCATATGAAAAATATTTTTAGTCTTGGTGAGAAAATAAATTAGACACTGCATTGGAAAAAAAGCTGCCTACTATCCTTGAAGTCTAAATAGAATTGCCGGTCTGATTTTCTTTTCAAATATGTCATATCAGATAAATTAATTTTTACACCTCATAGTATAATTGAGGATGTAGGAATGAACTCGAAGTACATACAATTAGAAAAAGCATAGGGTAGGATACAAATTGGTGGCCAACCTGGAGTTCAAGCGCCACAAGTGGCATGGTCAGCCTCTGTGACACCTGGCAGATCAGGGAGGGGACAGACAGCACAGCAACTGATAAGGTAGGATGCAGAAAGCAGAGCAGGAGATCAGGAAGGGAGAACTGGACAGGAAGCAGAAAATAGGAGAAGATAGGGCAAGAAGACAGAGTAAAGAGCAGAAAGCAGAGCAGCAGATCAGGCAGAGGAAGCAAGTGAGAGTGATACTTGGGGACATGCAGGACAGAAAGGCTGGGGTAGGAGATGCCAACCCTATGTGCACCAATGAAACAAAATGTAAGAGAAAGACTTCAAGAAGAGTCTCAAAAATATTTTATCTGCATCAGCTCCCAACTACTGGTCTTTCTTGGGGAGGGGTCATTCAAGCCTCACACACATCCCTGTGAGAATGGTTAATAAATAAAATGAAGCCGCAATAGAATTCACACATTTTTTCCTTTTGCAAACTTAACTCCTGACTGACAGGAGATTGGCAAAATCAAGCTGGATTCCTGAACACTATGAATCATCCCCTTCTTCTTCTTTTGTATGGCTTCCACATATATGCATCACTGTCTGGTATTATCACTCTATGCACATATTACATCATCCCCTTTTGGTCAATGGTAAAGATTGCAAATTTTTATTAAGTGGTGTACTGTTTGTTGGACACTGCATTCACGCAGGAGGCTGTCCAAGATGTTCAGCTTGTGAAGTGTTGTTTTGAAGCATCTGTATCCAGATCTCAGTCTGTTCAGCTTGATCCATGCTTCTCTGTCAAGGTCATGCCCAGTGGGACTCTTTTGGTGTTGGTATAAAATGCTGTAGGAATAGGTCTGATCCTTCCCAGTAGTTGACCCACTCCGTTGCTGCCTAGTTCGTTCAGCATCCCCAATCTTTTCCAGGAGCTTGTGGGTTTCATGTACAAATGGTTTATGATTTTTAAGCCTCCTAAGCCTCCATATGTTCAGGTTAATTAATAAATGATGGAGCAGGTGATTTTTGTCATGTCTTGCATCTATTGCCAGTAATGGTGTTGGGATCTGTCTTCTTATATCACTTGGTCTAATGCCCAAAAGTACAGGGAATGCATCTGTGTGTAAGTTGTGCAGCCTGGTATGAGTCTCAGCACATGTTTATGTATAGAAGTTTAGTGTGACAACTTCTGGACTCTACAGGAGCACAATATTTTGCCAGGGTACATACCATTGTACTCCATGGGCACCCCATGTCATGCTGGCTAAACATCTTAAGGCAGCTACCTATGCAGAGACTTTACTGCTGACCCTCTGAACATGATGTTTATGAGTAAAGGAATGGTCTAATTTGACTCCAAGGTAAATTGGGGTATGCTCATGGAGAAGGTTGTGATTGCCTACTCTCATATTCAGCATGCTTTTGGCTTGTGCAGGTGGAAGATCCAGTTATCCCCTGAAAGCATAGAAGAGTGTCAACTTGATGATTTATTTCCAAGGCAGCAGACTTTAAATCTGAAATCTAACAAGCTAAATTTGCCAATCCATTCTATGGAATGGATTTAATTAGGCTAACTCATCTTTATTCAGTTCCATGTTCTTCAGCTTTCTAATTTTATTAGATTATTTTCAGAGCAAGGTTATTTTGTTTTATCTTGAATAATACTTTTCAATTCAGTACTCTTCATGTTCTTTACTAGCTAACACTTTATTAATTCACTAGTACCTTGCATGTATATAACCAACAGTTCACCAATCAAGTGTAGATGCAACTAATGTAGGCACGTACGCTACAGAACATAAACAGGTGTATTTGCAAGTGATTAGCATAAACTAGGGAGGACATATAGGAATAATTCAAGTCATGAAGATGTCCTATTCCTTTTACTTATAATTAACCATACTCAATTCTTTAGTAACTATTTAGAGAGGCAAAGATTTTTATAGGTGTTATATTTTGTTGGATCAACTGCATGTAATGGTTTAGGATTTATTTAGACTTTTATCTCACACCCATTATTTCTCCTAAAGGTAAGAATCCACTTGCCATATGTGTTAAGGTTAATTGTTTCATCAAAAATGACTAGCTGAAAATAGCGATGGCAATTTCCATTTGGAAGCCTTTCTTTGGCATAATCAGAATACCCCAATCTGGGAACATTTGTTCATTGCTTGTGGAGATCCTATTTTGTTTTCTCTCTGTGCTTTTCTCCAACCACTATTTCCAATTTTTAATAATGATCATAGGTTATCATTGTGATTATTTTGCTGGTCTTCCCTCACGTTGGTCTTATAAACCTTGAAGAAGATCCCTATATGAGTAAAATTTTGGGATTCAAAAATTGCAAGGTTGTGGGCTTGTGATTAAGAGGCAATTATGATACTTGGAACCTGCCCCCTATTTTTCTAAATTGTACATTTTTAGAAATATTGAATAATAAATACTTGGCACTAAACAACTGGAAACCACTGCTCTTTCCAACATGACACTAGCTTCTCTTTTGAGACTTATGTGCACCGAGGCAGGTTGTACAGCTTGTCTCTCCAGCTATCTTAGCCACAGAGTACTGCACCTTTGCCTCTTTGTACCCAGCATGTAGCTTTCTGTCTTTCTTCTGGCCAGTACAGAAGTTAAATGAATTCTGATCAAACAGGTGCCAAAGAGGATCTTTGGTGTTTCTCTTTCCTCTTTTTCCTGATTCTCAAAACTATTGTATCCTATGCCAGCCTTCATAGACTTATTGGTAGACCAGTGAGAAGCAGCAAGTATTCACTTTGGATTCGGATTCAGCTGATTCGGAGGGATAGTGTTTCGATTTGGTGATTCAAATCACTGTCCTGATTTGATTCAGGTGACTATGAGGTAGAACTTGTGTGCCAAACAGCGGATGCCAACAAAGTTGGCATCATGCTCCGCCTTGACCATATTGGCCCTATTGTTGGTGACCATGAACCCGCAGATGAGCTCGCCCTGCCCAATGAGCCACCCCTGTACTATGAGGTTCATAGCCACCATGATCTCCCTGGCTGTGTGGGACCCAACCATCACCTCTGCTTGAAGGAGATCCCACCAAAGCCCTGACTGATTGCACAAGTGCCCTGTGTGGGAAAGGTAGGCATGATCTCCACCCCAGCTGCTGCAGTTGTCTGAGATGAAGTGCAAGGCTACCTGCGGACCTGCCTTCCACAGTTCCTCCCTCAAGTACTCTCTGCATGCCTCATACAGGGAGGACACCACTGTCCTGCTAAAGGTAGTGCATGCAGGCACTTTGTATGATGTGGCCATGAGCACCACGAGCTGCCTGAACCCTGGGTGCTTAACTAAGGAGAAGGGATGGCCATCCAGGGCAAGCATCTCCCCAGTGCTCTGAGTGACCTCTCTTGCCTTCAGAATGTGTCCCCTTTGTCTCCACCTTTCCACTAGTCCAGGGTGGCCTGCCTCTGCTTCTTGGGGATGGGGCCTTTGAAGTGAGGGGGACTTCTTTTTGGGCATGCTCCCACTGGTGCCAGGCTGAGGAGGAACAAAGGCAAGGTGGGGGTGCTGCTTCCTGAGATGCAGCAGCATCACCATGGTGGAAAATTGTTTCATGTCCTTTCCCTGCCTGATCTGCCTTCGGCAGTGCTGACAGGTAGCATACCTGGGATCATCTGCCACCTCAAAATGATCACACACTACACTGCCTACCCGCTTCTGGTTGAGGGTGGGGATCCTGTCTTATCCCCCTCCTCACCAGGCAGAGGCATAACAATAGAAGGAGCTGAGCCACCTGCCCCAAGTGCCTTCCAGAGAAGGAGACCTGACACTAGGGGACCTTTGAGGGGTGTGGAGCACAAACTCAGATTCCCCCTCCTTCCCCAGAATTTCCTTTGCTATAGCCCTCAGCCCCTCTGCTTCCAGATCCAGCTCCTTCTCTGGCAATGGAAGGCTCACACTGAGAACAGAAATTGGGGTGGAGAATATCATGCCAATGATGATTAGTGGTGGTGGTGCAGGTTCAGGCACTGCTACCACATCCTTGCTCCACCTAGTAGCAGAAGACTCTTCATGCCAGGAAAAAGGGTGTGTCTAGGTTTGGGGTGAGGGGAACTTGTAGCTCTCCCTCTGCCCTCTCTCCCTCTCCTGCCAGAAGACCTGAAGCCTGCCTTTCCAATATGCTTCATAATGTTTGGTGTGCTGTAAAGTGTGTGTGTGTGTGTGTGTGTGTGTGTGTATGTGTGTGTTATATGTTGTGCCTTCCTGTCCAGTGATGACACACTGTCAGGAAAAACACAAATTTCTTTTTGTGGGGGGAAAGAAGCAAGACAGACTAACAAGAACTAATAAGAAGATTTTGGGGGA